GACCGAAGGGGCTTGTCCTTGGCACAGAAATCTCGTAAAAAAGGGTGCAGACTGAGGACAGGAAGTTCGCACTCTTTGGGCGAGTGCGGCGCACGCAGGAAGCATCACACTGGTCCCTGAATTTGTTAAAGCGCATAAGCCCCCTGCTGTCCGCGGAGAGCCATCACTGGAAAACAAACCAGAGCGCCGGCACCTGTGGACGTTTCAGACGAAGTCGCTTGAGCCTCGAAACTAACATGCCACCACTTCTCTCGCGGCTACGCAAACAAAGACAGATATCACTTGCAAGAAGCGGCCTGAGAACCAAGGCTGTACCTTTTCACTCCTGGCGAGCACTCACCACAGCTTGGCGAGAACTCCTCCGCGCTCTTGGCGAGGTCAGTAGTTCAAACTGGCACTCATCCGGATGCGGTGAGCGGCAGCTTGTGACAGCTTGCAGCAGTGCCCATGAGATGATCAGCTCTTGTCCAAAAGAAAAATCTTGTGAAGGTAACATAGAGCTGCGTTATCGTGCGTGTGTACGAGCCAATGTGCCACTGCCGCAAGACAGCACATTATCAAAGAGAATGCCGGCGCAAATTGTCCATGCAGCCTGCGACTGGACCCCTGCGAGCCAATGTTTCCTCGCCTGGTATCCGAAATTTAAGAAACTTTTGGAAACAATGTCGGTGCATCACGCACCTGAGATTTTGCTCACGACCAAGCCTCCACCGTGTAACCTCGGGATGCAAAAGATCCTAGGCATGACTGCACTCGTTGTCTCGATTCTTCCGTTTCTTGCCTTGCTTGCCCAGCACTTGCACTCGAGACCCGGTAACATCAGATTCGATTGAACGGTATGCTTTTTCGAGGCCGAGCAACGGCCTTCCATCTTCAAATTTGAGAGGATCGCCTCCGCCTCCTCTTCAGGACATCGCTCGTGTGCCATCATTACCTGGCGAACAAGGCAAGGAGCACGTTTCTGCAGCCTTTCGTCGCCATCGCATCAAACCGGCGATGCTGTCAAGAAACCTCCTTCATGGCTGTATAGATGTCTTCGGGCACTTGCCGTGCAGATCCACAGACATAGAAGTGGCCGCCCTGATTCAACATCTTCTCTGCAACGTCGGCTCCCGCCTCACACGATGCGAGGAACTCAGATGGGTAACAAATGAGCAGGAAGGGACCAACCGACAAGCGAAGGTCATACAAACTCAGCAAGGGAAATGACCAGTGAGAGAGCATGGTACAGGCACGATCTTCGTATTGAATGCAAGTATGCAGGTCATAACAGACAGCACTCTTAAACCTCCCCCGATGCAGCTGCCTCCACTATTCGGTGCTGCACGTAGATCTTGCGTGCCTCATCAATGCATCACTGCTACATGACGCGGACAACAGGCCGAAAGAGCTCACTAGCCTGCTCTCGCGAGAAGGCCGTGTGCATTTGCAGGACGCCCTCCTTCTCGTAGCTCTCAAACTCCTCTCTGTAGAGCCACTCCTGCGAAATACAACGACTGAACCCGACCATGAGCTTCATGAACAACTGTACTGTCTGTGCTCTTTGCGAAGCTCCTGCTTGTAGCGGGCACCAAAGAAGAGCATGCACTTGCCGACCTTTAGCCCCTGCCTGGCTTGCATCACTCG